GCAATATCAATCGCTATTGCTATTGCTGGTGGAATATTTGCATGGAGTTCAACAACAGTTACGGATATTTTAAGCAGTACATTAGTCTCATATATTAAAACAACATTTTCGAGTAAAATGTCCGTGGATACTACTACATTAGTGAATAATATTATAAGCATTGTTCGTAAGTTAAAGCTTCATCAGTTACTTATTATTATTGAATTGTATATTTGTGAATAGTTTAAAAATAATAAGTCATAAACAAATGTAATTGATAAATATGAATGAGAAATTAATTTTCTCAGTTGACTATTCTCAGTTAGTTCGTATAAGTTGAAGTGGGATTAGTGATGATAAACACTGACTGAGTTTACTCTAATCATCCCGACCGTTGTTACTACCTTGACGTGGTAGTCTGGCTTGCCTATCGTAATGAAGTAACCAAGCTATATTGTCTGGAACAACCGTTCCTCAAAGTCCTACCATGTCAGACAGGTCGGTTGACGAGAAGTAAGGCTAAAAGCAACAAACCTAAGGTCCAAAGGCGTAGTCATACTTCTGACTGTACAGAGGTGTGACAGCAGTAAGGTGTTTCCTTCAGACAACCAGCATGACAGCGATGCTGCCTTCCCACAAGGAGGGGTGGAGTTAGAAAAGGTCGACCCTAAAAATGCACACCTCGCCTTATCCCACGGATATCCGTCTCCGGTGGTAAGGTCTCAACAAGTACACAAAAATTACCCATTAAAAAGGTCGTGTGTGACCGACCTCAAGCAGTTGTCTCTTGGGCACTGCGGTCACGCTCTCAGGTCACTAAGACCACCCCTAATCCAATTTCCTTTTCACGTACCTCTGGAAGGACCCTTCCACGGTGTAGGCAACCGGGAAGTGATAACCGCCCTCATAACTCTAACAGCACTCATATATGGCAACTTAGGCCGATGCACATATGTGCCTGATCCTACGTTGTAGCTGACTGACTGACTGACTTACTCTAATCATATGGGATTATTTATGATGACAGCGATCTATTAGAGTGATTATCAGTGAATAATTATGTATCATACAACAGATTACTGCTAAGTGTTTCGTGAATGTAAGGTATGGCTAGTAAGATATTCAAAACTTTTAATATGAAGTTAACATATTTGAAATGGAGAGAAATTCGTTGATAAAGCTGTCAACTATCAAATATTGATGTGTCATTATTTTCGTAAAACACTAATCGGCCAGTATGAAGAACAATAAGCTTTCTAGTTTGAAGAGACTAATAGACAAGTTTGTCAAAAAGAAAACAACTGATCACTCGATGATAATCGAATCACCTGGTTTATTGTTTTAGACATATGGTTAAATTCACGCATGCCCATTTACTAAAATGAAACTAGAATCTTGACGGCTCATAAGTTAGTCAATCTACCAGCTTTTGGTAGTTAACAAACACTTGTTTAATACTATATTAAACAGGCTTATGTAAACTTAAAATAAGTTTGGAACCATTAAATCTGACGGAGCAACGTACATTCCGTTGTCGCCTTAACGGTGCACACTCACATCTCTCCTATATGTCGAATCCACGAAGTTAGAGTTTCATGGTGAGCGTACAAACCTTAAATTTTTGGATTTTAATCTGACGATCAACATTCCCAACTTCGTTCGATTTGTAATGCAACTCGGCAATCATTCGTAAGCAACGCATTACTGATGTCCGTTGATTTGGGGATTTGTTCTCATCATCATGACTAGTAGTAACAATTAAAAGTAGACTGTTCACTATTGATCCTATCTTTAGCTTGTCGCTTTGTTTTTCTAATATTTTGTCAATATAGAACCAATTGGCTTGGTTGTCTTCATAATCGGAATGATACTGATGGCAATCTGTTGGTTGGGTATATTTGGTGTATGTTGTAGATCGAAGGTTTGTCTTGCATTGGTAAGTGGTGGTGATACTTTTATTGAGCAGTTTGAATAAATACACATTTGAAATGTTCTAGTAGATGGCTTGATTTGTAGTTCTTTCTCAAACCGCCTCTAAATTAGCCTACAGGATTACAGAAGATGGAACGACTGATCAAGTGACAACATGTATGTGCACATATAGAAACCAAAGACTGACGACAATCCATTTCTTAGTATCAACAACGAGATAATTCAAATCTTAATACTATTAGTGTTGTTTTACTTGTATCTTCCCATTGTTATTTAGGACTACAATGTTGGCATATGTGCATCCTGTGCGGATTGCCTCGATATAGCCCTAAGTCACAAGCCTTTTAAGCAAAGTTGGATAGTGGCTAGCAGTGGAATCCAGGACGCGCGTTTCGCCCTATTTAGGACTCATCAGCTCGCTGTGCCTGTATCCCGGAGTTGATGTTCACTCTGGGACTCGAACCCAGCGCCGTTTGCACATATGTCAACATGAGACTGATCAATTGCAGTCCTAGATAACAATGGGAAGGTACAAGCAAAAAAACACCAAGTGAATTTAAACTTCACCCCATTGCAAAAGCAGGTGGCTACCAGGACTTAGTAGCTAAGTGGGTAACGAGATGACGTTTGAAATGAGCGGTACTGGGTTCGAGTCTCGTAGTGAACATCAACTCTGTGATGCAGTTACGCCCAGCTGACGAGTCCCAAACAGGACGGAACGCGCGTTCTGTATTCCACTACTAGCCACCATCCATCTTTGCTTAATACTATTGGTATACCCGAATTGCAAAATCAGGTGATTATCTGGTCTCAGTGGTTCGATGGACAACACAATTGTCATTTGAAGTGAAAGTAATGGGTTCAAGTCTCAGTCAAACAATCGTAGTCTTCACCCTCTTCAAGGCTGGTTGGATTAGTCTTCCGAAGCGTAAACTATAACCAAACGCAACCGTAGAACATAATTATATCTCAGAGCCAAAGTACATCCATTAGATTCTGAATAGAAAACAAAGGGCGAGCATTCTAACTATCAGAATGGAAAATAATTGTAAATCAGTTGATGCAATACTCACAAAATCTAATATCATATTCGTTAATTGGAATTTTGATTAGTTCACTTTACTGTGATAATCCAAACAGGCCTAAATGAATAATGAAATTAAGTCAATCTGTAATACCGATCAGTAAAGATTGAAAATGTCATATAATAGTATCTAGCTAGATACTATTAATCTATAATGCGTTTTTTGCAAATATAGTGTCAGTCAGCAACAACGTAGAACTTCGTACGTACGTACATCACATCAAGTTGCCATACCACATTAGCACAGAGATATTGTTGATTCATAACATAACATAATTTCGTCACGAATACGGTTTAGGAAGTTCCACAAGTTTATATATACTTAGAATTTGACAGAAAAAACTGCAAGTCATCTTGTTTATTTGTAATGAAGATTAACTATTTCAATAGTATTGTTCTTAATTTCATACTGTTTTTTTTTCCTTTTCATTGTTTCACCATTCATTTAAAACAAAACAACCATGAAAAAAATTTGAAGTATCTTGCCATTGTGATAGCAATTACTATCGCTGTAGTTGCATTAATTATTACATACAAAGTACAACCGACATTGGTAAGTTGATTTATTTACAATTTGTTTACATTTTCTCAATTCTAATCAAATTACTTCAAATAGAAAATCGTCTAACATGCCGATTACTTCACAACTATATCATGTATGATAAAACATCACATATAAAATCAACTTCTGCATTATATTTGGTCATTCAATTCCGAAAACGCAATGATGACGACGATGATGATGATGATGATGATGATGATGATGATGATGATGATGATGATGATGATGATGATGATGATGATGATGATGATGATGATGATGATGATGATGATGATGATGATGATGATGATGATGATGATGATGATGATGATGATGATGATGATGATGATGATGATGATGATGATGATGATGATGATGATGATGATGATGATGATGATGATGATGATGATGATGATGATGATGATGATGATGATGATGATGATGATGATGATGATGATGATGATGATGATGATGATGATGATGATGATGATGATGATGATGATGATGATGATGATGATGATGATGATGATGATGATGATGATGATGATGATGATGATGATGATGATGATGATGATGATGATGATGATGATGATGATGATGATGATGATGATGATGATGATGATGATGATGATGATGATGATGATGATGATGATGATGATGATGATGATGATGATGATGATGATGATGAGTGTGGATGCTAGAGATACTGTCTGATTGACTAAACTTAATCTTGTGAAGTGGGCTTTGTACCTGAGTCTTAGTTGCTTGATTCTAATCGCCTCAGTCACTGGATCATAGTTCCATAGTTATAATCTCACTGCAACTTTTTAGTACAAAATATTTAACTAAGCGATTGACCAGTAGATCAACCTGTGTCCTCATCCGACACATACATATAATTTTGATAATATAGCAAACAAAACGTTTATCGTAGGATTTTGACGAAGACATTTTCTTGTTAGAATATAAATTAATGATGTAACAACAAAATTAATGATGGTAGTTCTTGAATTTCAGCACTAAATTCATCCATCCATTTGATTAAACCACATCTAGGCATTGTAGCCGAGGTCGATGCTTGATAAAAAATCTAACTTTAAATACAATATCAAATCTCCAAGTCATAATCCTAATTCTAGTTCCTCATACCGATATACAACTCTCTTTAGACCCTAGTAAGTACATTAATTTTCCAGAAGTCAAATTTCGCGCCGCTCATAGATGGTCCATGAATTATCGTCCTAATCATAAACGGTAGAGAGTAAAATATTTCGTGAATATCATTGGTACTCAGGTTGCAACTAGTGTTGTAGTAAAAAACTAATTCCCATAGAATGATATGATTGAGAATACTTAATGTATATTAGTTTAGTAAAATTTCGATGAACTACTGTGAAATAATTAAAGTAGTTACATTTCCCCAATGACTAAATTTAACAAGGTTTCGTTTGCAACATACTGGAAATGGTAATTCACATCTGTATTTTGTTGTGTATCTGTTTTTTTTCTTTTTCAAGGTCACCTCGGTGCTAGATTCAACAGTCGATTCATGGGCTACCAGTTATGTTTCAATTGTTTCGGGAAATACTAATAGTGTTTTATTTGCTTCATTGATGATGCTTGTAAGTTGTGAATATAAAACACCTCCTATAGATAATTTAAATGAATCACATGTTTTATTAAACAGAGAAAAAGATCCATTGTGTCATTCAGATAGAGCAGTTCCTGTTATGAAAAAACATCAAATGAACAATTGTCTAAGATGGTGGTACACTGGTCAATCATTTCAGCAAAATTTTTGACTTCTCAACTGTGCGTACAGATGAGTACACGAACCTCGGACCACGTAGCGAAAACGATATATTTAGAACATCGTTTTAAATTCAACATATCTATACTTCCATCATTTGTCATTTAATGACAACGTGATACTTATCCAGTGTCATTGACCAGTCATGAGATTAGACCTGACTTACATCTCTTCTTTATTCATTGCTTCTTAACACAACTTCAGGAATCTATCTCACAATTAGTCACTAGTATATTTACCTAACTTTTAAATCTTGTTCAAAACGGATAAAACAGTCTACAGACCTGTTGAATGTGTCCAAATAAAGCTCAAACATTATTAAGTAACTTGATTAATCAAGTTAAACAAATAATGAACAGTTGCTTTGTGGTAAACTACTTACCTACACTCACTATATATCATAGCTAGTGTTAATGGCTTTTGTTTTTATATTGTGTAATATTCACTTTACAATATACTTCACAATTTACGCAATGTTATTCAATCTTGGTTTTTCTTTTTGCAAAAAGCTACAATGTTGTGGATCCACTAGTGTAACTGACATTACCTCATCCAGTAACTTCGCAACCTCCGATACATATTCATCGCAATCATACACATGTAAGACAATGATTTATATTTAAATATTATAGAAGCCTATTAAAAACTTCCAAGTTGAACTATTGAGCATTGACATTTTAATGGAAAACTGATAAGCGGTTGTGTCCAGTTATAACAATCACACAGGTAGACTTCCACATTTCAAATGAATTCGAACGGAATTCATCATGGTGAACAACTCATGATTTATATCTGAAATAGTCACGAATTTCATTTCGATAGTTTAAAGCATTTTGCAGTTAATTCCTGTCAAGTTCACGCTCACAATTAACTGTGTTTAACATTGATTGATTAGGGATAGTGTCACACAAAGATATTCTTAACCGACTTCTTATGACTAGCAGTTCTTATTGAACACCAAAGTGTATTGACAATTTAGAAGAAATTATATAGATTCGAAAATCCTTATTACTATCACATAATACTGATTCGGTAAAACAGGTCTCTTAGACCTTATCAAAACCGGATTATATTGTGCATTTTCTGAGTTGATGATAGAGTTATTGGTTAGTAATAATAATTTCTAATCTCATAAACAGATTACAAGTGGAAAGTTGTTTTAAAAGAGAAATTTGATTGTATTCTATCAAGCGTGAATGTTACTTATTGTTACATACGGTTTTCAGTGAAATGAAAGCATGTTCGAGTGTCCTGAAATTCTATATCATATAGATTCGAGAGTATATACTTTTGATGTGTCATAAGTCGAAACAGAGCATCTTCCCTAACGTTATTGGTTGTCAAAATTTCCCTAGTTTGTTCAGAATTACAACCGGTTCTTTGCAAACAACTACCTTAGATACTTTTGTTTATTCCTCCTGAAAATTGGAGAATTTAATAACGGAGGTAGTGTTCAACATTGGTGACATGTGAGACACGGTACTTCGTTTGTTCCGTTAATTTCGATATCGAAATCAATAAACATTACTGGGACCTTAGTTAAGTAATTCATGTATGTATGTATACTCAATCACCTGAAATAATGTTACAAGTGGTCGAGTGATTATTATTAAGTTTAATTAATAAGATACTCACATCTGAGTGAATCAGTGACCAAAATAACCTCGTTTTCATTTCACTACGATGATACACATCAATACAAAGAATCAAGCACAATAACAAACATGATTAGAAGCCACTAAGAAAATAAAGTTCATTTAAGGAGATACGTTTTCATAGGTTATTCACTATCCAATAAAACCGATATGTTATTCATCATATCAACTGTATTCTTCTGGGTGTACACTTTGCAACTAACTCCTCCAAACTTCTTTTATCTAGCTATGGTTCGACCAATTCCATGTTGTAAAGTTGATTCGAGTCTTGCCTTGACTGATTCAACTTGTCCAACAACATCGAGTTCTACCAAACAAAATGACTCAACTGGATGTAAAACGGTTATCCGGTCGTATATTACTACTTCGGCTGACGTTATTATGTATGTTTCGTTTGGGGTCTTAGCCTTCTTGGTAAGTTCAATTTTAACATTCAAACGTTTCTTTCCATTTATATTCTATTATGGTTTGAGTTTTTTGTTCGCTCAACTAACCTTGTTTGATCTGCATATTTCCGTTTAGACCTCAGTGTTATAGGTAGTTATGGCATGACATGAGAGGAATTTTATTATAATTGTCCAATGTGGTGGTAGTTTCCATCACAAGATGACAGTGGATAGAAGACTGTTAAAAATAATGTAAAGAGATCTAGACTTCCGTTTTGTTCTGATTTGAAGCTCTTTAGCTAAGGCATATTCTTATGCGGTATCTAATCTAAGATATCTTGAACAGTCATCTCCTAATAACAATTGAGATGAAACATATGTTCAACAGCTTCAAACGTCTTATAAAAAGTAACCTCGAACAATGATAAATGTGCTTATTTTCTAAAGGTAAAGTGGTATGTACGAATTCCTCACTTGAAAGCAATTGGTTTTTTGCTGTCTTATGCTTAATGTTGTTCAAACTCTATCAATCTGCTTGTAATGTGTGTTCAGTAATCTAAGACGCTCAACATTAGAACGAACTTTGCTTCGATTTTATGTGGTTAGAATCAATCGACAAGCAGTATAAAATGAAGAGCTCCAAATTTAACAAAACCTTAATCTGGACTCGCTTACTGGCTACAACTCATCTATTTTATAAACTGTTATCCATTTTAAAATTAATTTGGAACTTAAACAAACACTTAACACTAAAATCGACTGACACATAGAATAGATTGCCTGATACATGACTCGTATTTTCTTGTGGTAAAAGCTGTGAAGTATTAAATAGTTCAGATGCTGAAGTAACTAAACTACGTGAATTTTTCAGAACCAACATGTCTGTATTTGTTTCAAATAGTTTTAAATGATAATTTACTCAGTACCTATGGTCATGCAAAATAACCAAAATAGTAGTATATTTAAGTCAGAAATAATCAACGAATTTGTCTGTTATGTTGGAACTATATACAGCAGATAAGCAGTATCGCCGAAGAATGTACTTTCATCTTACACACACACACACACACACACACGAATACACAATGTGAGTATTTGAAATTATGTTATTAACCTAGGTTTGCCAGGAATATCGACTCCTCCTCTTAAAAATTAATTCTACTACTGTCGATTGGATAACTGCTGTATTAATCTAGAGTTCGGACCATATCATCCTCGTACCAAGATAAAAACATCACTATTTCGAAGACACATCAACACCTTAAGAGTTAATCTTCTTCGGTATTGCTATCAAAGCGTCATCGGTGGTGAAATCGACAAACAAAGTTTAGATCGGATAAGTCAATCATACTCAAACGATTGTGTAAAACTATTCGTAAGCTCTTAAATAATACTCCATGGTGTCAGTTTGCCTAATAGATTACAAAAACATAGGAAGTGATTACAATAGAAATCTTGAAACAACACATAGTTATGAATATGTTCTACACGAGATTGAGAGTGCAATGTAGAAAATATCCTGATCCATCAACGACAAGTCAACAAAATAACAATAGAATGTTCCATTGTGAGTAGATGAACATTTTTCCACCTATGAAATATCTTTACGAACATTTTGTTTCAAATATCCACTAAAGTTTACATGGAGACAAATTGAGTAATCATTTCCAGTGTTTTTTTAATTCCGAATGGTTCAGGTTGTTCATCACTATTCTACTAATATTTCACTGACTAACATATTAGACAAAATTTAATTTATCATCTTATTTAGTTGAAACGTTCATATACACAATATCTACTTTAATGTGACGACAGTGGAATTTTCACTCATCACTATTTGCTTATAGATAGATTTCCAGTAATCAATTATGAGATCACACAGATACTCTAGCGAAATAGTCAACGAAGTGTGAAAATCGAGATGTGTCTAGTCTAAGTAAACCACACTAAACTCGGACCGTGAATCACAACGATTAATCTCACTATCAAATCAGTCATAATCTGTCTAAGAAATAAAGCATTAATCGAACTGTGACAAAACATCACAAATGTGTGATGATAATGCTGACCTTCAATTAATAGAAACTAATAGTCAGAATATGAATGTACAAAGAACAGTCTAAGGCACTCAAACAACTCTTCGAAATGAATGTTATTACAAATAGATGATATTAATGGTGACGATGTTTGTTAGTTTTCCAAAAACACAGTTGATTTGGGAAAGATTATGGTTTTAATCAGTCTCAATACAAAAAAGTGAGAATAATCTTTATCTAACGACGTTTGACTTTCTGATATATGCCGGTTACTACCGAAATGTCTGTGACGACCGATCTGTAAAATGTCAAGCGGTATACAGTTAAACTAGTTTCTTAAATGACAAGCTTCCTCATTCATCAGAAAATTTGTCATTGATTACTCATTCCAATATCCAACTTTAATTCATCCTTCACACTCGTTTCCATCAAAACAATCCAACCAATCGCATAATTCATTCAGAGAATTCAACACAGTTTTGTAGCTGTATTAAATAAATTAGTGTAACAATTTTACTTCACCCCATTGCACAAGCAAGTGGCTATCAGGACTCAGTAGCTAAGTGGATAACGCGATGCCGTTTGAAGCGAACGGTACTGAGTTCGAGTCCCAGAGTGAACATCAACTCTGAGATGTAGGTACATCCGGCTGACGAGTCCCAAATGGGACGAAACGCCTGTCAAACTGGATTCCACTGCTAGCCACTATCCATCTTTGCTTATAATGCTTGTAAATTAAGGCAATATCGAGACATACGCACAGTATGCACGTATGCCAATAACAGACTGATCAATTTCAGTCCCAAAACATCAATGGGAAGATTCAAGTAAAACAATACCAAGTGAATTTTACGAATTGTTTATCATATCGATGACATGATAATCTGATCAGGCAAATCAATCATCAGTTTCTAC